ATTTCTGTATCAAAAAGAGATATTTGAATGGAAAGACAGAGAAGGTTGCAAGGACAGGAAGGAAAACGAAGAACCTTTTCTCCTGACAGGCTTTCTTAACACTCCAAAACAGTCTGGGAGGAGAAAGGATTATGTTTGAGATATAAACATGAGGAATGGAGAATAAAGTTTTTGTTGGAGAATGATACAGTGTGAACTGGTCAGGAGCTGATTTAGGCTACAGATTAAAAAGGAATCTCCAACTAGAAGGAGAAAGAGCTTATGGCAGCTTGCAGGCAGTACCTTAGCAGCAGGACCCTAGTTATTTGCTATATCTGACTGGGTAAATTAATGGAAGGGGTTTTATGCCAGAGCAGAAGTAATCCAGGAACTAGCAATTTAAGATTCAGAGACTTCTGCTATCCAATTTTGTTGTACTCCTGAGAGACATTACAAAAAAGTAGGTCAGTGTTTTGTTGGTGATGCTATACTTATTTAGTCAAATAAAATATTTCTTGGGGGATTCTGTTAATCACCTGCATTTTTTTTCTTCTTGCTGTAAAATTTGTCTCTGGGTTAAGTTCTGTTCCCACACTTCCCTGAGACAGTGATGACAGGCAACTGCCAAAGGTAGGATGTTGAGATAGATGTGCTCCAAGGGGCCTCAAGAAACCCTAGATTTGCCAGATTGGTGCCAGCTGTGTGCATTCTCTGCTTGCCAGATCAGAAATTATTTCTCACTCTGACACAATGACAATTACTGTTGTCACCAAATGTTGCATGAGATGCAACTGACTTCCTAAGAACTTTCATGTAATTTTGCCAAAAAAAAAAAAAAAGTTATTTTGTAGTGATCTAAGGGTGATACCTTCAATTTCTCCCCGTTTCACATGACAGACTGTATTTTTTTGGCTTTGGGTGTTTTGTAAAAAGAGGCTGAAAGTGTTAATGGGTGTTGGGGTGTTTTGCATGGCGTGAGGGAGGTCCGAGGTTCTTGTGGGTCTTCCTGCACTTAACACCTAACATGTGGCTTCCGGCACTAGTGGAAGGCTCGGGTAAGTAACTTACGTAACCCCATCCCATCCTACATACTTTGCACTCTTTGAATAGTAGAAGAATAATGAACATGCTGCAAAATATGTAGGAGATTAAGGAGAAACCAGGTCACCGGACAGAACCACAGCCCCTGGGGCCCTTCTACTCCATCTGGGCCAAAAGTGGAGGAAACAAACTTGTGACATGCTTTATAAACATTCCCATCCCTTTAAGACAAGCTGGCCCTAAAGGAAGATGCAAACCCACTTAATTAATAGCCTCAAGGCTTCAGATAGAACCATGCATGGTTTATACAAGCAGAGGCCAAGAACCCTTATTTCCTCCACTGTTCCTTGCACTGTTGCATAAAGACAAGTAAGTTATACAATAGCTAAATAGAAATTATACAACTTAGCTCCATATATCTAAATCAGAAACAGAGTTTCTATGTGGCACTGGACACACTTAAATAAAAAAAAGTGGAACGGTGAATTCTGGTCCTAATGAAGTTAGTGGCAAAGCTCTTGCTTACTCCAGTGAGATCACAATTTCATCTAAAATCTTGGCTCAAGTCTGCAGCTGTCTGACCAAGTAGTATATTTAAAACATATCCCTGTTAAGTTTTTCTGAGCACAGAGGCAAACTGATCTTCCTTTTTTTTCTTTTTTGTTTGCCTTTTTTTTTTTTTTTGCTTATGATAAAGAAACACAGAAAAGTATTTTAAGATCAGATACTGAGCAAGCACTTGCAAACTTGAATTGTAAGTCTGAAAAGGGTATGAAATAGTACCCTTGGGTGCAGAGACAACTATTAGCAAGGTAGTTGTTTCCATGTTTCAGTGTCAATACTTCAAGCCACTGAATGCTGCAGATGAGTCACAGTATTTGGGCATCAGATGGGAAACCCCTAACTCTGAGCTCAAACAGATATTAAAAAAAGAAAGCCTCTGATGAACGCGAGATCTAAACTCTGCAAGTAAATAAATATGTGAAAAGATCTACTGCTCTACAAGGACTGTGATGCAGCAGTGTCAGCAGAGCTGCTTGGCACATGGAACAAACTAATTACTTGCCAGTTCTTTTAGATTGGCCTGGGGTGGATGGCAGCCCCGGGTAAGAAATGCCAGTGCAATTTTTTCATGTCCTCAGGCTTATCTGGTCTGGCTTTTGAAAACTACTGATGTTTCATTAAATGTTACATGTATACTACGTCTTTCCCCTCCCCCAAGATTCCCGTGTAATGAAGAACGAAGGAAAAAAGACAGGAAGAAAGAACAGAAATCTTGAGCAAGCACGGCCACATATCACATCTATTCCAAATCAAAAGGTTACTTCTCTCCCACTCTTCCCTGAAGCATCTCTTAACAACTGAGCTGATTCAATGCAGAATGTCATTAAAAATCTAACAGTAAATAAGGTTTGGGGATCATCCTTATTTTACAGAAACAAGCTACAAATAATCATCTTGGGCAAATCAAGCACCCTATCAGAGCCGTAGTATTTCTGGAAACTGGCTCCAGTGTATTAGTAGGCACAACTACCACATAAATTTTTTGCAGACCATTTTGGAGCTCTGTAAATCCTTGCAATGAACATGAGATAAAGCTGTCAAGGATGGCGAAGAATTGCTTCCATGTATGTGATTAAATCTGAACAGTTAGAAAGACTTACCTTGCTCTGAACAGTTAGGTATGGTTGGTCAGAACCATCCCAGCGTTGTTGCTGACAGTTTCATTACTCAGGACTGCCATGGACTGCCATTCTCCAGGCAACCAGCTGGCAAGGCATCATGGCCTTGACTCTTTAGTGACCAGCCTCTGACTAGCCCATTTACGGCTCAAAAGGGCAGGCCAAAATCTCAAAGGCTTCACTGTAGCTTCCAGTTTTCGTCAGTATGTATAACGGCTGCAAGGTAGGCTGGAGCCTGCTAGAAAAATGGTTCTTCCTGGGTTTATGACTGCGTGGAGCAAGTGACTGACCTCATTAAAAATTTAAATCCACGCACCATACTGCAAGCTACCCCATCTAACCATTAGCTTGGGTGAAGACATGCTGCTTTGCACTGTCATTCACCCTCTTTGACACCTATCTACCTGTTTCACCATTTATCCACATTTGTCTTTCACTAACACCTCTCTCCACTTTCCTACTTCATTCATTTTCTCTCTCAAATACATTATTTCACTTTCTACACTGTTCCTCTCTTTCTCCATATCTCTGCTCCTTTCTAACTTCCTGGACGCCACTCATCCTCCTTTGGTCTTTGAATGAGAGAAGACAAAGTGACCAAGAGGGAGAGAAGAAGAAAGGCAATGATGGACGTAGGAAAATGAACAAACATTGATGATACAAAGTCAGAGAGGACATGTGAAAAGTGCAATGTTGAATGAGGCATTTCAAAAGGTACCCGAAAATCCCAACAACTTACTTACAACTTACAATTTCCTCTGGTGAATGCCTGCCTTCTCCACGTCACCGATCAGGCAGGGCAAAACCTTGGCCTTATTCTAAACTCCCCGTGTTACTTTTTGCTTTGCTAATGTGCAAGACTCAAGTATTAAGCCAAGAAGAACAGGCGCAAGTTAGATAGCGCTAGAGCTGGTACTGAACCATATGCTTGTTCCAGTTTCAATTTTCAGCAGAAAGTCCATCGTTAGCCTCTATCTCTTCTTGGATTTAGTTTTTTTTTGTAGCAAGGAGTTAGTTGTGTTCTTTGTTTGTTTGTTTTCCCAAAAATAAGTACAAAGCAAGGCATTCATCATTCCAAAATGCCTTTGATTGTTAAGGTCTTTGCAAACATTCACTATTAAGCATGAATATTCATTCTTAAATGTGGTGATAAACCTGGTAAATAAATCCAACCCTACTGAAATACAGAACAGATACATGCCTCCAGTCCCAATAAGTATTGCTCATATTTCAGATGCAAAATCAAGAAAGCTTGGCCCTTGGTGCTCACTGGTATCCTTTCAAATACAAACATAGGCAGTGATTACTACTTTGTATTTTTTTCCAAGTACTTAAATGAAGTCACAACTGTTTATGTTGACCAGATAATTTGAAGTGCCAAATTTCCAAAAGAACAAAATATAAGAGGAATGTGGTTTCTATGTTTACTAAATATTGTGTTTGCTTGTTGACCAAAAAGACAAAGAACAAAGGAGACTGTTACTTCTCGGCTATTAAGAGAAACAGCACTCTACAATAATCCTTGTGCCTAGCTTCCTGGGCCCTGTCCAGCCTCACCCAGACGCAATGGCAATCTCTTTTCAGGCATCCCGCAGACACTGGTGCAGAAGTGCCTCTGCCCTGTTGATGCCTATTAAGATGGATACGGAAGAAGCCTTCATTTTGTCTGCAGAAAATTAACAGGCAGCAACTGATGTGCGAGACAGGTACAGACTAGCCCACATTACAGGATTCAACACTAGTATTTATAAACTAACAACTTGCCCATGGATTGCCTTTCACAAAAGTCCAGCTCCACTCATGAAGTTACACATGTTGTAATGAACACAAATGCTGTCAACTACATGACTTGCCACATAGTACAAAGCCAACATCAACATCAGAATCAGTGAACAGAGACGTGCTTATCCTAGCGATTCAAGAAGCCTTTGGCAAACTTCACAGGTTGCTTTATGGCAACTGAGCTCAGGAATTTCCAATTGTAAAAGATTATGTTTTAGTAACTCCTGAGTTATTAGGTCAAATGTGAAAATCCTTTTTGTTTTTCATCTGCTTCTTCTTCACTAAGGCCAAGCAAACATGTTGAATCTTTGACTAGAGGAAGGACCTTTCTATGACTTGTTATTAGATAACAAACACAACATACAAAAACCACAGGACTAAACCAGTTTCTCCATATGCAGTACCCTAAATCACCTGACAGACAGAATGTCCAGTATAATATTTGTATAATCAGATCAAGGTGGTGAGATGACTAAATCAGACCTCAGTTATTATTGACAATACCAGTTCACTTACCCGATAGTAGTCTGTGCTGTACACATCTCTAGACATCCCAAAATCCCCAATCTTCACCAGCAGGTTCTCACCAACCAGGCAATTCCGGGTAGCAAGATCCCGATGTACGAAGTGCTGTGATGCCAGGTAAACCATACCAGCAGCAATCTGCTGAGCAATGTGGAGCATCTGGGATTGGGTCAGCTCTGCGGGACGGTTCCCTTCTGCCATCAGTACTGCATCTGGTCCGTGTGCCCTGCATCAAAATACAAACTGATGAAGTGATAGGCCACTTGTAAGCCAAAGAGCTAAAAGGCATCTGGGGTCTAAAACCAGACAAGTGACTTGCTCAAGCATAATGACAAAAAGGAATGTAAACACACTGGTGAAAGAGGAGAAACTGTCTTTTGGCTTTTTTCCTCTACTGTTTTCTTCCATGGTGAGAAAGGCTGGTGGTTTGAAGAGCATTACATAATGGGCAATATATCATTCATGGAAATAAAGCAGATAGACAGATAGATTCATAACAATCCTTAGTCCTAAACCACTACCTTTAGTCTGCTGTGCTCCAGAAATCTTTTCTGGGGAAAGGCTGGTAAATGTAGCTGATAGGTACTTGATGAAAACCTCTCCAGGAGTGATACTCTGCCGTGAAGTGGTAGGCTTTTTTTTTTTTGAATGACCAGCTTCCCCTTGATTTCCATAGGGAGACAGGTCATTGCGCGTTTTCATCTTGTCTTCAAGAAGAAAGAACTAACTTCCTTCTCACATCCAATCTGAGAAAAAGGGCAGCAATTTTAAGTTTATACTTTCAATTTCCTATCATTCTTGCAGAATAGAAAAACATTTTTGCCGATTTCACCACTGAGGGCAAGTTCTGCTCTACCCAGGAATTATCTAGTGGGAAGAGAATTTAAAACACACTCTAGTCTGAACAACTAAAGAATTCCAGAAATAGTACTTTTTTTCCAAGATCTAGCAAGCTCCTAAAATATATCGATCAATTGATTCACGAGGAGTTCCTATTCCTGCAAATAAAGCATTTTTGTATTTGGAAACCCCAATAAAGCTCTACAGCTCTTGTGCTTCACCTATCCTAACAGTGCTTGCTCTAGTATAGATATTGCACATCCTGGTACCTTGAAGATACAGATATTAATATCTGGTCAATAGAGGTGACATGTGGCCTTCATTCAACCCTGGGGGAAAGGCATAGGAGTTTGCAAGAGAGTTGCAAATTAATCAAAATCTGTGTGATCAAATCTGACCCTACCTATTAGAAATATGATACTAAAGTTGCCCCAGGGGAAGAACTTCATGAGCACGTGAGAGAGGAACAAAGAGGGTTTGCAGCATTGCTGGGACTGTGTCTGGTAGCAGGCAAAGAAGTTAACTGCAGTTATCCTGATACAGGGTACAGCTGGCCATTCAACTGACAGCACTGGTGGGAAAAAGAGGAAGGATGTGAAATCTCCAACCAAGGCTCAGAGGCAAATTCCTAATGAAAAGCACTACACCTCTCCATTGTACTGTTTTGTTTTTAATGACTGTTTTCAAATGTAAAGCTCTGAACATACAAAATTTGCGCTCTCATCTCTCACTACCTTCCCTGAGGAGATGGTACATATGTGATGAAACTTATGGATAATTTTTAATACTCCATCCATTTTGCTTGTCTTCTTGGTGCCAGCTGCAAAAGTGGAGCTCCTCGCTGTCAAAAACAACCAGCAGAGTCCTTCAGATCCACATAGTCTCCACTAGTCACCAAATGCACGGTCAGCACAGCTTCGGGGCTGGAGTCCTTGGCTGCACCACAGGGAGCAAAGGTTCCTTTGGTTTAAATTTCGGATATGTTTTTCCCCGACAGCCTTTGGTGGCGCTGCAGGGTAAGAAATAATAGGCTTTTCCAGCCTGCTTACGACCAGTGTCTGATCTGCAGCACAAGCTGCGGCAAATGTGCGCGAAATGACGGGAATGACAAATTGGAGCTTAGGTTAAACAGCTTGTCCCAGCATAATCATTTCATGTTCTAAAGACAAGAGCTGATTAATAATTTTTAAAAAAGAAAACTTAACATAGGAAATATACTGTCTGCTATACTACCATTCTCTACAAGAATTCAAAATCAGAGTTATGAGGTAAAAAAAGGCTAATTGCAAAGAATCAACGAATAAGCATTTCTCACGATGACACTGAATCAGCTGCAAATCTAATTTGCTTTAATGGGGGGAGTTCAGCACTTTGAAACAAGCATCTGGACTGGCATCTTTGGAAAGTGCGCTCCTCTTCATATGCACAGCAGAGGTGCAAGCAGGAAACACTGCCTTGGCAATACACTTAAACCTCTGCCAGGGAGGCAATCAGTCTAGGAAAAGTCACATTCACTCTGAATCCCCAGCTCAACCCATGGTGTCCCTGCCAACCCTGACAGTAAAGGAGGAGGCTGGTTGATGTCATTTGCTTTTATGATGTGTCTGTTTGTTCGCTGGGGATTACAAGGACAGCAAACTCATTTCACAAAAGCGATCAAAAACTCGTAAATGGTGACACCACCAGTCACTAGCAATTTTATTCAGACACCAGATCTGAACCCATTTAAAGGGCCATTAGTTTGATTGTTTTACGGCTTTGTCAGTGCCATGCATTACATGCAGTTTTCCAAAATGGATGTGAACACCAGTCATCCTTATGCAGAAGGCATCTTAGTACACCAAAATGCCTTTGTGGTGCCCTTGGATAAAGCAGCGTAGAAGACCTTGAGAGAACAGTCCACTATGCTTTTTTTTTTTTTTTTTTAATGTAGGAGCAAAGGCTGTCCCTTAACTGCTTATTTGCATGTCAACGAGTTCAGACTACTATAAATGGCACATACATAAAGTCACTGGACAAAACTTATTGGTTTGTAAATTACCTATTACTGTGAACCTTATGCATCACTTAGTTATTCACGCTTGCTTCACTACCAAAATTCAATTTTGGTTGGATATTTCTGAATAACTTTTGAAAGTAAAAGTTCCAATCCAGGCCCCATGATGCTGCAGTTTCCATTGTACTGAAGTTCCAAGCCTAACAGTTTTCTTGCCACAGATTTACAGTACTTTTTCCAATATGTTGACAGGAGGGAAGAGAAAAGCAGTTAGATTTTCCAAAGCTTTTAGACACCTACAGATAGATAGGTGTTGAGTGGGATTTTCCCAAGTGCTAGCAGAAAGGAGGCAAGAGAGCAATCCCTACTCCAACTCCTGCTCCTACAAGGGAGCAAGCTTTATAGCCAGACATTTCAGAATATACTGAAATATATTGAAAAACAGCACTCCTTTTGTTGCAGGCACCAGGAGTAACTTAGTGGTCCTTTCAAATAGGTAAGGAAATAATAAGCTCCATATCACAACTCACAAAATGTACAAGCAGTGCGTCATACAGATTTTCATTCCTGTGTTTTTTACTAGTGGTAAGTAATTTGCCATTGAGTACCAACAACGCCCAACTTCTCTGCCCATTTCTGCCTCCTCAGCACAACAGACACCAGTGGATTTACCTGAGGAATTTGTTCAAATCTCCGTGCTTCATATACTCAAAGACCATGATGAGTGGATCGCCCTCGACACAGACGCCGTAGAACTTGACAATGTGCTCATGCTGCAGGTTTGTAAGCAGCTCTGCCTCACGGTGGAAGTCCTTCCGGGCATTGTCACTGGCATCCTTCAGCGTCTGGTGGAGGAAAGGGAGATGTAAGGAGGAGGTGTTTGCAGAAGGTAATGAACATGTGGGAAGGAGCTGTAAGGGTAAGATAAGGACCTCTGAAAAGGATGGAGAAGGTACATTCTTAATAACTGTTTTAGAAATGCAGATGTGATGTTTAAGGGTAATTTAATAGTGGCAGTACAATTTTTGTTCCCCTGCCACACATCGTCCCAGAGGAGTGATAGGCAGGACCTTACTGTGCCAAGTGTTTTCCAAACAGAACAAAGAAACTAACCTTATCCAAGAAACATACTAGTACACAGCTGGCCCATTTCCTTTAGTATTTAACTCAGGCAAAACCCCAGCATCCTGTGGGCACTCACCTCTGTTTTAAGTTCTGTAAAGTGAAACTTTGCTTGCTTAAAATGATTAACAGGAATGTAGGAGCCTTCGTTATGTACTATTAAAGTTGTTTTTGATGTGGGCCCCTATAGCATGCTATGCATAAGGCAGATTTATACAAGGGTTCATCCCTCAACCAGAGCTTACAACCTAGAATCCCAGCGACTTTTTTGGGAATTCAGTGAAATTACTCACATGCCTGAGATGAAGAATATGCATAAGGTACTGGAGGATCAATCCTAAATTGCTAAACACTGAAGAAATAATGCAGAACAGAATATGGGGAGGGACATCATTTCTTTTTCTTTCAGATATAGCTTTAAAATCTCGCATATTTTCATGTATGGCAAATATAACAATGCTGGGTCAAATGGGAGGCTTAAATGTCGTTTTATGAAATGGCGCTAGTTTTATGAAATGACACTAGTTAAGCAGCCACTCAGAAAGACGGTTTTAGATCTCTCCATAAAAACTGTTTTGTGAGTAAGGAATTCTTTCAAGCACCAGAAAGCAAATTCTGACATGAATTAAGTAAGGAATCACCATAATTAACAACATACTATTGCTATGCTCTACTTTCTTGAACTACAGAGGTTGCACTATATTAATTCAAATAATATTTCTAAAACAGTAAGAGAGTGATAGCAGGTTACCCATTCTCACAAATTATTATTCACAGAAACTGAAGACTGAGATCTGTACTCTAACTACATCTCAACTCAGTGTAAAAGAAAATGAGACACAAAAATAGTGGCTTTAACTAAAAACGCTTCTTCCTGGTCATCTACTCACTTTACTTTCCATCCTGAATTCCCATGGTGAGCATGGGACCAACAATGCCTAAGAGAACAGAACAAGCTGATACTGTAAAATGGTTCCACCAATAAACCCCATTTTTTGGCTGTAACAAAATCATGGTTTGTACAAGATGTTTCCTGAACAGAATCAACTCTGGCCACTTGTCTAGTGTTATATGTGTCCATGTGTAGATAAGGGACTAAAAGATGGGTTTTACAGAAGACACTCCTTTTACTCACAAAAATGCAACCATAGGTCTCCAAAAATGAACAGCTACCATAATAAGGTCCAGATGGGAGGGATAAGAAACAGGGCAGACTGAACAGCCAGCTACTACATCAAGAATTTTTTCCCAGTGGATTGTAGGCTCTACAGATTCCAGAGGCAATAGAAATCTGTCAGGCCAAAAACACTCCTTCCCTGAGGGACACTTTTATGAACCCCGTGTTTTCTGGCCCAGAACCCTTCTTCCATGAGTTTTACAAATAATGATGCAATAAAGATTTTGGCTGTTTAAAAAGCTATGGTACATGAGCATACAAAGCTGAAGTGGGTATCAACTCAGTCCCCCACCTTGAGTCTCAGTTATCACAGTTATATCACAGTTAATCACAGTTATATCCAAAGCAGATAAGGGCTAGCTGAAACACCTCTAACACCCCTTAATGGTGCTGGGATGATGCTTTAATATCCCACAGCCACAGTCAAATCTACATTATATATTGCAACCACAGGGAACAATTCTGCTGTCAGTTGAGTTTCCTCTGGTGGTTTCATGAATAAAGTAATTTGACTGTAATTCTTGTAGGCAACAGAACTAGAAAACCAATTTATAAAAAATAAATAAATAACAGGAACCTGGATAAAAATAATCAATACGGAGAAGCATAGCCAATCTTTCACTGTAAAGACAGTAAAAATGCTGACAGCTTTGTCCTGTGAGGATGGCATATTGTATATTTGGGAAAGTGCTTTTTATCTCACAGAAACAGCAAAATTATCATATGACAGAGCAGTTGCCATGGTAATTACATATTTTCTGTCAAAGAGCAAAATGCGGCAAGGTCTAAAACCTAGGAGAACCCTGACAGGCTTCCTACCTACCAAAAGGCAAGTGGAATTTCTGATGCCCAACAGTGCCAAACCCTTTTCATTATTTCATGCAGCACAGAACAGATGCAATGCACACAATGCATGAAAGAGAGCTGACATTCAGGCAAGGAGAACACTGGAAGGACTGAAAATTAATAAGCACACAGAATTTACATAGAAATGACACTGAGTAATATATTTAGAGTGTTCTCAGTGCAAGAAAAAAATAAAAACAAAATAAAACGATAAGAGCACAAGATAGAGAAAAAGACATATTCATTATTATTATCTTTACTGACAAGTAAGCCAAAGCTGTGTATGAAAACACTCTCACCAGCTGATGGGATTCTTGCCTGAGTAGGAGCTGAGATGATCTCAGCCACTCCCAGCCATTCAGGCTCCTGGGCCACCAGCTAAGGAAGAGGGACATCCTCCTTTGGGCAACAGAGGAATGTTCTGGCTGTTACAGATGCTCCATGTCTGCTGAGTTCAGTCTTGCCACAAGTAAAACTATCAGCCCACAGCTGTTCCCCTTCAATAGGTCTTTGCCCAAGTAACCACTGAGAAACTGATCTCTGCAGATCCATGCTTGGTAAAGGAGCACAGAACCTGTAGTTCCTCAACCCATAACTACACTGTAGAGCTGCACTTTTGAGTATGTTGGAGGAAAAAAAACAGAGTCTGGCTCTCACCAACAGCAGTATGTCTTTATAATGAAATTCTCGGGATAATTTACACTGTTTCAGACTTGCACTGTGAAATCCTTACAACTGCTTCCCTTCACTGTATAACAAGTAAGCAGTGTATTTATTCCAGAAATGAAGTTTGTTTTTGACCAGTATCTGAAGTGCTGGAAACCTTTAGCTTTCCTCTGAAAGTGTCATGGAAATGTTCTTCACCTAATGCTAACAGCACTCTCCTACATGACCTCAACCTCAGAGCAGAATGACCTTTGCCTTTTCCTCACCTCCAATTCCTTTAAGGCTAAATGAATGCAATCATACATGGAGGGAACCAAGCCTATGAGGAAATGGTACTGAACCAAGCCTAAGGAAGTCAGTGTGGCATGGCAAAATGGCCTCCAAGGAAATTATGACTATCCCTTCACATCTTCCTCCACTTTCTTCCTCTAAAGCTGCCTGAAGGAAATGGTACTCTGATTTGAATGAAAATTCACCCAGGAGGAGTATAATGCCCTCGGACTATTTATCCTTAGGTTAAGTTCTGTGTTCAGAACCTGTTCTAAGGTTCTGAACCTAAGGATAAACAGGTTCTGAACACAGGTTCTGACCCACATGGCTTCTGTCTACTCAGTGATCCTCAGAAAAGCCTGATGGCCAAAACTAATTTAACCTGAGCCATACAAATAGAGAAAAAGTGCAAAATTTGGGGTTGTTCATGCTTAGCCTGATATTTTCTCTCTTTCCAGGTTTTTCTGGAATCCTTCTATCTGCTCTATCATTTGCAGCAGCAACTTCAATATTTAGGATATTGGACATATGAAAAGGATGCATTTCAAGACAGAGCAGCTTGCTCCTTTGAGGTTTAAAAACACATTTTTGAGCATGCTTGTACAATGCTGCAATGTTGCCCAGCAACTGGCAGGCAGAGACCTAGCAGCACAGCCAGCAAATGAAAAGAAGTTCTGCAGATCTCAACTAGGTGAGGAGAAGCTTTCCCCACGCCCCAGCTGATACAGCCGCAGCTTGCTTGCCTTCCTTTCTGCTTAAATCCTTCCAGTATGGCCTCACTTGTCACCAAACATGTATTTCTAATGGGCTCAGAGAAGCCCTTTCTTAGGGAGATTCTTAGTTTGCTTTCGCTTAGGAGGAGGATGCTCTAAATCATTTGCTGTTCATGGTGAGGACCTACCCTCAGCCAGGATGTTCCTCCAGGACACCGATCTTCAGACCTTTGCTAGCCAAGCCCTACACCCAGTAGAGGGAACAGGATGCAGTCCTCTGACTAGCATGCCTATGAAGTTCCATTCTCTGTCAGGGAGAGTGTTGCCCTCAAAAGTATCTAGAGCATAGGCATGAACCATAGCCATTATTCCATAATGCAGTAAAGGGAAAAGAGTGGGAAATGTCAGGTGATTTACCACTTGATTCTATAGGGACCACTCCAAAGGTCCACTAAGCCAAAAAAAATCACTCTTTGACAGGGACCATCAAGAGCTGATGCAAGGCACCTGAGAGGAGCATGACCTGTCCACAAGGATCGGTCTCCTTACTTGTCCTTCAGCAGTTACCTGCAAGACAGTTATCAAGGACACTGCAGAGAGTGGATTTGGGAAACCTCTAATAACACTGGTCCAGAAAACTGAGAGATCTAAAACCACGGAGACATCTCTGCCTTTACACACTGAATGGTACTCATTGTGAACCACTGTGAGAAGGAACAGCAGAGAGAGAGAACAGGCACAGCACTTAACAGCAGCGAAATGATAGGCTGCATTTGGTCAAGACTTTCAAAGGAAACAAGCACCAGTTGAAAAGCTTTTATTTTGCTCTCAGGCAGTTACCTGAAGTGATACAGGACAGGAAACTTTCACTCTATTCTCACCAAAATACAATAGAAAATTCATTCCTTTCTAACTTCGTCATCTCCTGTCTCTTGCTTTTTCCTATCTATGATATAACATTTTTTTCCCACCAGACAACATGACTGAACAACTCAAGTATCACAAAGCTTGTAACCTTGGCAAACCCCTACAAAATTCTATTTATGATGGAGAAAGAAATCATTAAACTAATCCATCTTCCTTTCATGTTCCCTCACTGCCAGATCCAAAACTCTGCTCCTTGTTTACAATTTCAAAAAGATGATCTTCTGGGATTCTTTTACTGTATGATTTGATTCAAAACATACACATTTTTGCCTAATTGGAAATGGACAGATAGTATTATTTTCTGACCCCTAAGCACAGACCAAATTCTAAGGTATGTGCTTCCACTGCCTTTAATGAGATACTTCAAGAGCTGAACACCTTGTTCAGCTCTCTTGAACACAGATGGAGATAGCAGACAGTTGTCAGGGAGACCTAGCAAACTCTTTGTACAGTGTGCTTTCACTGATACTATTTTCTAGCAAACCTCCACAGCTGAGGATGACAACCGACTTCAGCAGTTCCATTTTGGGGGACAAAACAGGTCGGCATGGTGACTCAAGTCTGGAGTGCAAGCTCTGAGATCGTGGTGGAGATCTTACTCCCCAGTATGTTTCCTCCTGTGCTGCCAAAAAAATCCGTTTTTCTCAGAGTAGAGGGGATTTTTCTGGATCCAGGCTGCAAGGTTATGGCTGCTTTCCCTTAGTTTCCTCCTGCTGTTACTGTATTTTGGAATGGTTGAAAGGAGCCTGATAATCAAAAATCACTCCTCCAGTTCTGAAATGTCATGATTTTTGTATTTTCTTACAGGCAGAATTTAATAGCACATAAAAATATTATCTACAAGTTTATTATAAGATTCCATATAAGATTACTAGCAACCATACTAATGATAAATATGCACAATTTCTATCAATGGTTGCCTAAAAGAATCATACAGATCACAACAAATCAGGACTTTTTAGATCAAAAATTATACATATAACCTCTTCATTTAGCTCACTGTTGATTACTTTTTACACACATAAATGTTACATGTAATTTTAATGACTAGGTGTTATTTTTCATGCATTATACTTTAGATAGATCATAAAATATTTTGTCCCTTTGTGACACTATGAGTTTCCCCTTTTTCCTTACAAAATTCAACTCTTATTTTACAATCCTCAGCAAGATCAAATATCATGTTCTCTCAAGACTCCATTAGCCTTGTGAACCCTTCCACATATATCAGAAGAGTTACACAGGGCTGCGGAATAGACAAACAAGATCATTTACAAATAAAACAGCATTAGTTTCAATCATGAATTAATAATGGAAACCTTGACTCTTTTACCTTCACTGCCACCAAGATCTTGTCCTGCTCGGGACAGAGGTTATAGCATTCAGCCAGAAAGACTTTCCCAAAGGCTCCTTCTCCCAGTTCTCTTTTAAGAACGATATTGTGGCGCTTGATGTGCTGAACAACTGTGAATAGAACACAAAATGGAGGTCAGAACTGAATGGCAGGGCCACGATGGGAAGAAGTCCATGCTGGCAGCCACAGGGAGACAGGATGGCCTGCCCAGTGCTGTGTGTAACAAGGAAAGAACACATCACCTATAAGAGCTTTGTCCAAAAAGAATGTGTTAAAATACATTTGTAGCTGGAGTGCAGCACATTTGCTGTATAAGAAAAAATGGACTTAGGAGTCAGCTGAGAAGAAGCTATTTATCATCATGCTTGGAAGAGTGCTGAAGCATACATAAAAGTGAACATTTTTTTTTAAGCCAGGAAGACAATCAGAAAACAAAACAAACCTTTCTCATATCCCTTCTATTTTTGTTTTTCCAACAATAGCTGAATACTCTAAGGCAAAGCCAAATTTCTTTGGAAGGAATAAAGTCTTAAAATTAGCATAATCCAAGAAAATAATGTGCCCTCTGTTAATTAAATCCAACTTATTCTCTGGTACTCTTAACAGATACTTATGCTGCTTTAAACTGCTGCTGTCTCTCTCAGTGCTATACTACAGCTATAAAAATATCATTTCACAAACATGATTTACAGCATTGCTCTAAGTAAAAGAAATAAAAGACGGACAAAGGTTTTAGGCAGTGTAGTGGACACAGCCTTAGCTGGACTGGTGCCCAGAAGCAATTGGTCATTACAGTCCTCCAGCTTTTTTGTTTGTCTCTTTTTATATTTCCCTTTTGGTGCAAGTTTCCATTAGAATATTTAATATTTTAAAATCCTGAACCAAATTGTGTAAAATACACTATCAATTTTATAATGTTCTAGCTACATAAAGCAGCTGCAAGGTCAGTTTAAATGGCCAGCTGAACAGGGTTTATAGCTTGTGTTACTGAAACTGTACAAAATAGCCAATGTCTGCTGATGAACTTGACCCAAGTGTATTTGGCAGCTTTTGCAAATGCTAAAATTGAACCCTGCCAGGACACAACCCACTAGCAATTTAATTGCTAAATCCAGTGAAGTAAATAGGTTAAATGGGCATCAAAGAGCTTCTTCAGGGGCATGAATCTCACCTCAGCAATGAAACCGGTGGGACTAGTGCTGAACCCCTGAGGAGGGAGAACTGAGGTTTGGGATATATTTTGGATATATTTTGCTGTTGACCAGCCTCTCACTTTGACCATACCTTCCAAACTGGCCATTTATCTGCCTGAAGACTACTAAAGACATCATTACTCCAGGAGCACTACTATTAAGAGTAGTGGAAAAAATGACACAGCCTCCCCCTTACCATCTCTAGGAAAATACCTATGTTCCACACTGGAAGTGTCTGAAGGTGCAGTGCATTTCTTAGTCATATATGTAATAATAACATGCATGCATGAAATGCACCATCCCAGTATTCTCACTATTCATCCCAACACAGTTTTGCTCCAACAGTGCATTGGGCACAGCCAGAGCAGCTGGGATTTCACCCACTCCACACAGCATCCAGCCCCTCAGGAAGAATGCTAAGGAAAAATGGCTCTTGAACATGTGCCTAGCCCACAGAAACCTGTTTCTGCTAGTGCTGTAGTAGCAGGGTGAAGTAATTATGAAAATGATGCTACCATTTCATCCTAGTATGACAGGTCTCCCACCAAAACTGAGAGGACACACTTTCAATTAATAGCCAAGAATATATTAAATCAGAACAGTTTTTAATTCTCAACAAATTCTGGTCTAGTATAACATAAAGTTTTATTGTGATGATATTTTTTATGCATGTGTGTGTGCATATACACACACAGACATGCACACATTTTTGGCAAGCTTTTCAAGTACTAAGCAACTTCCTACAGTCAGTAAGAATATACTCTTTATTTCACTTTGCTTCTCAGTATTGTGCTTTCAAATAAACCATAAAATACAATTAGCATGAGATAGGCCTGAACCAAAACACACCTTTTCCTCACAGATGCCTATTAAATAGCTTACTTCAACTCTACTAAAATATGTAACAAAATAAGTATCAAGCATGTCTTGAAGCATGACATACACAGAAAAACATACACATACGGGGTATGTGTATCTCAAACACAATTCAAGAAGGGGATCTGGAACAATTATTTCCTCCTCATCAACTCCAGTCTTGCAGTTCATAGGAGGCCTGAAATTTGCCTCATTGTGCAGAATCACACAGAAATTGCTCTGCTTTCCTTCAGTTTTTTTCTAATTGAAACTCACAGGAAATAACTGAGAAAACAGCCCCCAATACTAAAAGGTCTTCAATTATAGTTGAAGATCCAGGGACTTCTTTTTTTAATATAAGTCATTCAAAAGTCTTTGGTTGATTATAGTTTTACAACTATTTCCTTTGCTTGCTTGAGAAAAGTGAGGTGATTTGACAGACTGTAATTATACCTGGTTATTTGAAGGAAACCCAGCCATGGTCACACCAGTGCACTGAAGAGGCAGGAGATGGAAACTCTCTCAGCTACTACTACTCAGTTAAACTGTCCTTCAGTCCTATCTCTTTGGACATTTCTTACTTTCCCAGTACTTCCCCAATATCACTACAATACTGTCTCATCTCCTTACATAAAGAGAAGCATGGCTGAGACCCACCTGAACATGTCAACACTGTAAAATACCCATAAAATCAGTTAACTTTTCTCAGGCAGACAGCATGGCTGTGGTGCTGTCCTACTGGGCTTAGCAGCAAAACTCCACTTCAGCATAGGTTGAGTTCAATTTTGTCCTTTTTAATACCACCAAAGAGCTGGTGATAAACATAATCACCTCTTAAATTCTGGTTAGATCCTCTCCATTTTGACAATACAACAGCACTGATGTTGGCCCTAATGGTAAAGGGACTTTATTATCAAGTTCCTGGAGGACTTCACGAACAATGGAGAATAAAAAGAAATAAGAAACATCAAATACTTCTGTGCAGTACACTTGTATCTGCTGCAAAATGCTCTTATGTAAGTAAACCAAGCATTCAAATAAACTAACTGTTTATACCAGACTGTCAAATGCAAAACATAACAAGCTAGAGATCTGCACAGAATATGTTTGCAGATCATTTTGCTGTATCAGCATCCCTGTTATCTTTCAATGTGAAACTGAGGTATTATAAACAAATAAATAAATGATGGCAGTAAATGTGACTAAGTGGGCACAGATTAACAATAAGAACAATATAAGTAAATCAAACACATATGACAGAAATATGAGCTAAGGAAGAAATCCATTTAGCGCACATAGGACCCCAGTCATAATGGCCCTGTCTTTGAGAGAAGGGAGATTCCAGCAGGAGATGCACTAAAAAAATGAAGTCAAAATCTGCTTTCAGTTAATATCAGGATAAGGCAATTATCTCTGTTAAAGTCCAAAAGATTATCTGGATTTACACTGAAGAAACAAAGCAGAATTTGACCAAGGAGGTAGTATGATTGTATTGCCAAAGAGAAGCTCTCACAAGATAGTCTCAAGAGGCAAAGATACACAAACATTCAAAGGATGGTTAGATATCTTCCTCTTTTTGGCTCAGAGTGATACTTGCTTTTGAGCTGCCAGTTAGGCTTTCAAAAATCATGTCATCGCTGGTTTACAGTCTTTGTTTGATTACTGCAACAAATATATAAGAGCTAAACTGAGTTGAAACACTTCCGCAAAAATTAAAACACAAAATATGAAGCAAAAATGAACAAAGTAAGCAAGGATAAATGCTGAAAAGAACCTGCAGGGTCAAGCTATATCCATGAGAGCTGTGCCTGTAAAACTAGCAGGCTCCTATGGTTAGCTGTAGGAAATGGCTGGCCACAGAAAACAGAACTGCAGAAAAGGGCCCTCTTCTCCTCTCAAGATCCCACAGACCTCCCACCAACAGAGCTGGCTTTCTTCTAGGTATTTCATTCACTAACATGCAGCAAGTCGTATTTTAAATGATTCAGCAAGGCCTTAATTTGCTTACTCTTCCTAGGTAACCTACCTTTGACCGTTAGGCTGAATGGAGATCACATCACTTTCGGGAGTGGATCCCACCAAAACGAACAGCACAGGAATATTTCATCATACTGAACTCACTGTGTTGGATGTGACTGGCTTCAGTTTATGTGCTTAAATAACAAGTGAAATGTGGTGGAAGAATCAAATGATTTTTCCTTGGTCATGAAAAATAGGGCTGAGCATTTTACCACCACAAGTGACCGTTAGATCATCTAATCTGACCTTTGCTCCCTTTGGAGCACTGAATTGAGTGAATTGATTTGTGTTTGGTGGAAGGGGGTTGTGCTGGTCTTGATTTGAAAGTTTGAGCTTTCCTGGGTATACTATTTAATTCTTTAATAATAAAAATGCAAGGATTTTTTTTTTCAGCTTCTCTGGCTTTCACCTCCTTCTCATGTTTTTTTAAGAGACATTCTCTGCTACTAGCTTAAACATCTTTTTCAGATCTCATAGTTTTTTTCATTATGAACACATTGATATATAACACCAAGACTGCCGTTGCCTGTCTTGGTAAAGCAGAGGGAGGGAAGTTCCTCCCTGGCAGCGATTTTCTCCAGTTCACCAGTCATTTTTATGGCTCTTCTCTGAACAGATTATCAACATCTTTTTAAGAACATAGTTTTCACAAGTGCAAGCCACATTCTTGTGTCACTGTCCATAAGGCTGTGAAACAGAGATAAAATCAGCTTCCTACTTCCCTGTACATCCAAAAATCACACTAGTTTTTTTAAAGCTAGGTTTCCTACAGAGCATGAAAATTATGCAATTATGTGATGTGCATGTGTTTGTCTCATCTTGAACAGCTCATCCAATTAATATATTTCAAGGGCTAGACATTTAAGTTGTGTCTCCATATACCTTATGAAAACAGCAGAACAGAGCAGGGAGCTCTCTTTATGGAGAGTCTGCCACTTATCCCTTTACAATATTCATTACTTCTTACTCCATTTTATGTATTGTTATTGTTGTTTAATTCTTACAGTGCAGCAGTGACACATTCCCAGGCAAGTCAGATGCTC